CACAATTTTGTTGCACAACATCGATTGTAAGTTCTTAAAACAATATTTAACAGTGCACGGCAATGTGCAATCTCATTTGCAATGATAAATACCCGATCGTTTGAAGATGATTTTTAAAAGTTTCTAATACATTTTTCTGCAAATTGATGGACGATCTGCATTTTTTGCACTTAAACTGCTTTAGTGTGTATAATTGTGTGTGTACTTTAATTGGAAATTTAAAAGAAGGCGAAACTCGAACAGACCTTTAGTACATGAGCACCCTTATCCTAGTATTTAGAGGATCTGCAGCTTCTCCCTTGATAATTTGTTGATTCATTGTTATCAGCGTTATAAAATAAACTGCACCGAACACAATAATATCACATTCAATAATTGTTAAATCAAAATCACTGTCAGTTTAATAACGCAATGTGTATTTGAAAAGTTTATCAGATCTACAGATGCACCCGCACTAAGAGAAAAATAACGAGAAAATCAAGAACACTATTTTTTAGCTCATTTTGGACCTAACAAATCTCAAAAATATGCACATACAGAGTCTTTATAACAAAGCTTTTTTATATTATAGCTTATAACAGAGTAACACATAAATTTGTTTTGCAAATTATTGTGAAATTTGAGGCATTTTGTTTCTTAGATGCGTTTGTAATAAATGACCGAGAAGCCGAAAGAATCTTTGTTATTGCTTTTGAAGTTTTAGCGGCTTACTCGAATTTAGTGGAGCGGATTGGGTTTGAATAATAATTTCCCATTTAATACAAAACGAGTTTCGGTCTTTTCCGCTACATCACGCCACATATTTCAAAAAGATCGCCCGCAGACAATTAAATTTTGTCTGGGTTGTTCAGTTTTTATTTTCTTACATTAGACGAACAGTTCAGCTTTTGATAAGTTCTATATTGTTGAGGCGGATTCATTTTTTTACAAACTTCTTTTTGGGTATTTTGCCTCAAACATTTTTGTCTTTAAAAAAGACAGAATTTCCTCACGTCTTTTATCACAGATTGATAAATAGTGCTCCTATTTCGCAATAAGAACGAATTATTTATCAAAAAGTAATCAGGAACTATCACCTAGAGGGTATCCTGCGACACACTCAAGCTCAAGGTGTAAGAGAAAATTCCAATTAGTAGAGAAATTAATTTGAAAAATTACCTTGACGTTTCGATAGCTATTTTCTGCTATCGTTATCAAAAGAACCTAAATGAACCTAAAAAAAAGTATGTTAATAAATTGTGTAACAATAGTAGGATAATACAGTATATGAAAATTCGTTCTGATAATTCGTCTGTGCATATTGTCAGTTATGTAACTTTGACTTAATCTCATTGTTTAAATTAATAAAGGTAATGTTAATTAATAATTTTGATGTAAATTTAATTTGGGTGTATGTTTCTCTGGTCTACTTCAGATTTTAGCATAGGTAACCATGGATGACTTAAATTAAATGAACATGAAGCAACACAATTATTTTGGTTTAGTAAAATTAGTGCGCTTTTTTTAATTTTGCGTTTTTTTGTGGATTGTTCTTTTGTTAAAATTGTGGAATTATTCCATTGAATTTTATGGCAATTATCAAATGCATGTTGACAAATGTGTGATTTATGATATTCTCTGTTTTTTATGTATGATTGGTGTTCCTTGAGTCTTTTGTGTAATGGTCTTGAGGTTTCTCCTATATAAAATTTATTGCATTCGCAAGGAATTTTATAAATTAAATTTTTTGTATTTTCAATTATATCATGAGGTTTTGTTACTGAAATTTTACTTCTAATTGTATTTTCAGTTTTGAAGATAGTCCTAATATTAAATGTTTTACCTACTCGTTTAATTTGATCTGAAAGTCCTGGAATAAATGGAATGAGAAGGTTCGTAATAGGTTTATTTTGATTTTGTTGTGTTCGTGGCAATTCAATTTCGTTAAAACAAAAAAAAGTTCAGTTTTTTTTTCTTTATTAAACTTTTACAATAGCTTTCCCCGTGTTTCCCCCTTGAAGCATCTCCGTGAAGGCATTAAACATGTTCTCAAATCCTTCAGTCACTGTTTCCTTGTACTTCAGTTTGCCCTCCTTGATCCATTCGAGGTTTTGTTCGAAGGACTCACTCCATCGATGCCGCCAGCCGACGTTTTGAAAACCCTGCATTTTCAGTTGTTTCGCCACCATGGTTGGTTGGATTAGTGGACCTGAACAAACATTTTTCATGCAAAGAGAAAAGTTGCCATTGGAACAGTACCTTGAGGTTTTGCATCATTGTATCCGGAAATTGATCCGCAGGCACTCACGCGGCCAAAGTCTTTCATGTTTGTGAGCACTGCATCGCTAACTTCTCCACCTACCTACAATGGAGCTCGTTTAGGTGAGGTTTTTTTGCGCGATACCGACATACATTGTCGAAATACAAATCCACTCCTTCTGGGGCAATTTCCTGCAATGTCTGGGAAATATCCTCGGTTTTGTAGTTGATAAAATGGTCAAAGCCCAGGTCTTTGGTCAGGAATCGGCCTTTTTCGTCTGAACCCGCGATTCCAATTACTTTCAACCCTAAAACGTTTCACAAATCATCGTACAGAGCGAGCTAATGATTATTTGTTAGCATCTACCTTTAATTTTAGCGATTTGTCCGACATGACTTCCAACAGCTCCAGCGGCGCCACTTATTGCGATGGTTTCTCCAGCTTGTGGGTGCAAAATTTCCAAAAATCCAAAATACGCGGAGTTGCTAAAACCATGCACTCATTTTTAAGTTCAAATAGTTTCCCAAAAAATAATTGATCTAACCCGGGCATCCCTAATACTCCAATTGCTAGGGATAAAGGAAGATCGCCCATATCAGGCAGTAGTAGAACTGGAACCCCACGAGCAGCAGGTTCCCCATTGGATATCGTAAAAGTGCGCCAGCCAAAAGGGGCTGCAACGAACTTGCCGACAGGAAATTTGTCATTTTTGCTATCCACAATTCTGCAAAATTTCCCATTTAGATTTTCGCTGCCACTGTTTATCTACTTACTTGGCAACCTGCGTGCCTACCATAGTAGATTGCAAAGGTATGGTGTTGGCATACTTTCTCATGTACGGGTCCACGCTTAGATATAAAGCCTGCGCAAGAAATTCTGCAAGTTTACCCAATTATATTTTATTTCAAAAGTAACTAAAGTGCCTACCTCCATCTTTGAGAGGCCGCAGCTCTTCCTCAATCAGTTGCAAGTCTCCTGGCTGAGGAAACCCTACGAAATGTCTAGATAAGATAAACTTCTTGGCCTTTACCATGGTTCCAAAAAAATCCAACGACAGTTTTTAGCAAGTATTGCTAAGTACTTGCTTATTTTTACTTGGCAGATAGCTTCTAAGTGATAATGTCGCAGCGAGCAGCCAGTACTTATAAAAGTGTTAACTCATTCTCAATATTGATAACGATTTCTCCGCACTATCTACAAGTCGTATTATTTTATGATATTCCCAAGTTGCCTTGAGATAGCCTACAGGGTGATACTTTTGGTCTTGAAAAAAACTCAGTTTTTTCAAAAATGTAATGTTTAGAAAAATCATACTTAACAAAAGATAAATGGAATGATCAACAAATAACTATATATATATTAAGGCCATTTGCGCAATTGCACTTATTTAAAAACTCCAACCACTTGCTTGGCAGGCCAGTTGGTTAGTGGTAGACCATAAGGCATTTATTGTTCGTGCACCAATCGAAGGCATTCTTGAACATCTTTTCCCAAGGGCTCTTTTGATAGTGGATCCATTCCCTCGGCATATACGGGCATTGGAAAGGCTGCACACATCTTTCAGGATGCGGCATAATGGCTAAGTGCCTTCCATTCGGAGAACAAACGCCTTAAACAACGATACTCAAACAAAACGCACATAACATCAGTGTTGATAAATACCTGCTAGACCTTCTAGGCTTCCATTGGGATTCATTGGATACACCTCAGTGGGCAGACTGTTATCATCCACGTACCTCAAAGCGACCAGTCCATCTTTCACCAACTTATTATAGATTGTATTGTCTTTGAAGGCAAACCGCCCTTCACCATGTGCCACCTGTTTAAAAGACACTATAAAACATCAATGATATATTTTGCCAAACCCTCTTACCCAAACACCTAGAACGGATTTCTCCATGTCTTTCAACATAATGGCCTGAGATTTCTCTATTCTCACTGTGCTCCACCTGCATTCGAACCTTTCAGACTTGTTATGCTCCAGAGTTATATCGGGAATCGCGAACTCGTTTGCTAATGGTGTGCCAACCCAGCCAATAAGAGCCATCAATTGGCACCCATTGCATACGCCCAAACTGAATGTATCCGGTCTGTTGAAAAACGTTGTAAATTGTTCTTTGACCTTGTCGTGGAAGAGAATACTCGCCGCCCAGCCCTTGCCGGAACCCATTACATCTGAAAAATGCAAGCGTTTTTATTTGGAGGGAAACTTACTACAATGGACTGACCAGCATAGCTAAACCCGCCCGGGAATATAACGCCCCTAAACATATTAAGAGTGGCAGCTCCAGTTAGTAGATCTTGCATTGTAACGTCCCATACTTTGAACCCTACGCGAACTAAAGCTGCGGCCATTTCCCTATCGCTGTTGATACCTAAGGAATCAGATCGTAGATCAATGGGAAAAATTAACAAGCAAACTACCTTCTTCCCGTATGACGGCTACAGATATTTTTTCAGCCCGGAACACGTTCTCGAAATCTGGATCAAAAGTTAATAAGTATTTGGGCCCAGTTCTCGTCGCTAACGAGGCGAATTCTGAGTCGGCACATTCTTTGATTGTTTGCCTTAGCTCCAGTCTATAACTGGTTTCTTCCCATCTTCGCATCAGCGGTAAGACTGTGCTTTCCAGGGTCGCGTTGTTAACTGCTATGGTAATTTCCGACTTGATCCCATAACCGACGCTCCTTCCGATGTCAAATACTGGCACGTGGTAGCCCTAGAATTTAGCCGAAATGTCCATAAATTCACCTCTAAAAACATTTAGATTATTACTTGAAACACCGACATGCAATACCCGACGTCTTTTTCCAGGACTTCCAGCACCCAGCCGACTTCTTCTGAGTATAAAACCTCTATCGGTTTGCCTTGTCTGTGCTTGACATGAACCTTCATCCCGCTCATTCCAGCAAAACACATCTCCAATAGAGTCACTAGAAAGTGTGAAAACTCAACTCTTCTAATCGGCTTCAGTTGTCGGGGAGACGAAAAACATACCAATCAGTCCTCCATCACTAACATCGTGGCCGGCCAGCACCGCCCCATCTTTGATCAGTTCCTGAGTGGCAGCGAAGGCATTTTTCAAGTCTTTGGCTGAGTGTAAATCAGGAACGTTGTTTCCCAGTTGTTTGCAACATTGAGCGAGCGCTGATCCTCCTAAGCGATTGGCGTCGCGAGAAATATCTACGAACAGCAGCACGCCTTGCTTGCCCATTGAGGGCGCTTTGAAATCAGGAGTAATCACCTAGAAATCGCTTTTTTGGTTATACCTAGTTGAAGCAAAACTAGTGTTAAGTTGTTAAGTGTCTAACCTTTCTAATATCGGGACAAGGGGCGTACGTAGAAATCACCAAAGTCCCGGGAGCTTTTACAGTGTCTTTCCCCGCTCTAGCAGCCATGCTAAGGGAGTCTTTGCCACCGTCAACAGCAATCCCTTCAAAACAAATACTTTTTAGAAAACCTGAATTTGCCTGATAGTTTTCAGCATAAAGTTCAGTGCTCACCTAATTCCGACATCAAGCTACACATGGCCTTACAGGCATCGTATAGAGCGGCCCCTTCGCCCGGCAGTTTAGCTGCCCACATCCAATTTCCGCTGCATTTCACGTCCTTAAGATCAGTAATGCCAGCAAACACCAAGTTGCTAGAAACCTTCACTAAGAACCGCCTCCATATAGAGATTAAGGTGCGACTTACCTTATGGCTTCAACAACTGACATCCTCGCTCCAGCTTCGACGTTGATGAGGCCCTTTATGGGCTGCTCTCCAATAGACGACGCAATTCCCTCCTGCGAGTTTTCAATAAATACAAGGGCTATAATCAATTTTGTTAAAGCTTACATATCCAAAGTGAGATATTGCGGTAACGGCCACATCTGCTAGAGGAGTATGCAAAGGCCCGACGCATTGTTGTTGAGCGATCAAACCCGTAACGCATCTGAAAGTTTGTTGAGGAACGTGGACGAATTCAGTCGAATGCGTTCTTAATTTACCTATCAACTTTGTTGGTGAGATATCGTTTGCTCCCGACCGATGGTAGTCGCAAGACCTTCTCAAGGCAGTGATAGATGGACGTTGCGGTAGGCAATTTAAGGTGATTTAAGAGTGGTGTTTTCCTTTCCAACTTGAACACCTTCCTGGGCATCTTTCCCAGTACATGGTCCAGCTTGAGGTTGAAAGGAACCAGCGATTTGGATTCATCAAGGGCTAATTCTACTGAGCCAGAGCCGGTTACTTCTCCGACAATGTTTAAAGGACACCTAATTGCAAGGAGTTTGATTATGCTTCAAAGCAGACGCTCTTAACTTGCCTCTCTCGTTGGCAAATCGTCCGCAAAACCTCCAAATTGCTTTTGGCACATAATAGGGCGTTGTTCTCCTGGTATTCAGCGCCCCACAGTTCCAAGAGATTAATTGTGGGATCGCCAAGTTCAAATCGGTTTGCGTATATTGTGCCTCCTGCCGGTTCCACCAGCTCTTTTAGCACGTTTCCATTACCGCCCGCTCCTTGATCATGGATGCTAATAATGGGGTTATTCTTCCCCAGTTCCAAACAAGCTCTTACAACGCGGTTCAGTTTGTTTTCCATTTCAGCGTCGCCTAAAACAACTGGGGGTTACTGCCCATTTTCAATAGGTGAGAGAGGAGTTCAAACCTCTTTGAACCGCATTGAAGTCGAGCTCTTCTTTGTTATCGCCTTGCACCTCTACAGAACTGGCTGCGCCCCCACCGACGCCTATTCTGTATACCGGGCCGCCAATCTTCACGATTTGATGGCCTATTTCGGGTGGTAACTTTTCGGTCATGTCTGCCTCCATGCTTCCGATCCCACCGCTGAACATTATTGGCTTGATCCACTCCCTACGACGAGAGGCGTTAATTGAGAGCTAGATTTCGGAGAAATTCTTGATTTTGTTTTACCTTCTTTCAGTTGCATCGTGAAGCCCAAACGAGCGTACAAAGCCGCTAATAAGAGGCTCGCCAAATTTGTTCCCATAGTCCGAGGCTCCGTTGCTGGCTTGAATCAGCACTTCTAATGGGGAAGCGAAGTTTGAAGGATATTGGAAGTTTTCGTCCTCCCACGGTTGCTGATAATCCGGTATGTGCAGGTTCCCTGTTAAGGATTGCAAATTGAGGTTTAGGTTCCAGGCATGAAGGTGGCCAACTGAACAATTACCAACGGAGTATCCGGCAGTGCCAGCAATGCAGTATCCTCCTCTTCCGACGCTCTGGACATCTCGAATGCGTCCTCCCGTGCCTGTAGTTGCCCCACTAAACGGAGCCACTCCAGTGGGAAAATTGTGCGTTTCTGCTGTGAATATCAGATGGGATTCTGATGGAACTTGACGCAACTCGCTGACCGAACCCGCACTAGCTGGTCGTAAACTGCGATGGATATATCCTCTGATTGCACTAAAAGTATCAGGAATGTATTAGTAAATTTACAAGGAAACGTGCCCCAACACCATAAATATTTGTAGATAAGTTCTATATTGTTGAGGCG